TGTCTTAGATAGCTCTAATCAAAGATAATCTAAAACATGTCAAGGGAGACACTCAGTAACCTCTATGTTATTTCTTTATTTTTCATGTACAGAGTGAGTCTTTTTAACAAAGGTGATATTCAGAGAAGAGGGAAAGCAAGGTAAGAGTGAATGCACTGAAATTAAAAACTGACAGGCCATAACACTACAATGAACTAAATTAACACACACAATTGCATTTAGAGAAGCAATAAGAAAACATTCCTTTTCCTTGGGTGAGAGTAACATAAGAAAGGTTATAGTAAAAAACTCTTAACACTTTCCTGCTATGGAAAAGTCTTTGCAACTAATGAATCTGGCCTGAAAGTCTCCTATTTGCTCAGCTTTCCCCCTCCGTGCAGCCATTCTAATTTTTATGCTATTTTGTTAGAATAACCCTCCTCCAAGCATGACCTGCCCATGTGTCAGTCCCTCTGAGGAGGGTGTCAAGATTATTTGCTTTCCTATTACCTTTTAACCTGAACACATATGAACACTTAGGGTTGCCAGGTATCTGGTTTTGAACTGGACAGTCCAGTATTTGAGCTTTCTGTTCAGGAAACAAACTGAGAAAATATAAATGAGAGAATATAAATGTCTGGTATTTTCTAAATAAGATGTACAGGCAGTCCCCGGGTTACGTACAAGATAGGGACTATAGGTTTGTTCTTAAGTTGAATTTGTACGTAACTCGGAACTGGCTCCAGATTCAGCCGCTGCTGCTGAAACTGACCAGGGGCTGACTACAGGAAACCCGAGGCAGAGTTGCTCTGCCCTCAGCTTCCTGGAATCAGCCACTGATCAGTTTCAACAGCAGCTGAATCTGGAGCCTGGGACAGAACAGCTGGGGTGCTGCCGGGTAGGTCCCCCCCAGGACCAACCCGGCAGCACCCCAGCTGCTCTACCCCAGGCGTCCACAACAAAAGCCTGGTCTGCTGGGTCCCCGTCTCCCCCCAAGCGCCTCTGCAGCTTTGCTTCGAGTGTCCCTGGTCCGCTGGGGGGGGGGGTCCCCAGCAGACCAGGGACACCCGAAGCAAAGCCGCAGAGGCGGCGGGGTTCCGCGCCTCTGCGGCTTTGCTCCGGGGCAAAGCCGCAGAGGGGCGGGACCCCGCTGCCTCTGCGGCTTTGCTCCAGGTGTCCCTGGTCTGCTCGGGGTGTCACTGGTATTCTGGGAGGGGTCCCCATCAGACCAGGGACACCCGGAGCAGCTTTTCTTGCCCCGGAGGACGCGGTGGCGGGACCACTGCGCGTATGGGTAGTCCTGCCGCCCGCGAGTTCCGGGGCGAGAAAAGCCCCGTTCGTAAGTACGGATCTGACATAAGTCGGATCCGCGTAACTCGGGGACTGCCTGTAATGTAGATTGTGACGTAATATCAAGTGTGTCTGGTATTTTTGTTGAAACCATTTGACAACCCTATGAAATCTCCTCCAGATCTCTCTTTTCCCCATTTAAAGAAGAAAGAAGGGAAGCACTCACATGCCCTGGGCTGGATTAAGGTATGCTGAGTCCCTAAAATATATCAATATAGCATTACCAAAAAATGTGTGTTATTCTAACAGAATGGACAATGAAAACAGAAATAATGAAGTTTTATATTTGCATCTATAGTGGTACACAGGCAAGGAGGCAACTAAAACTAGTCTTTTATTCTATTTATTTATTTAGAGGCCCCCCCCCCCTCATAATCGAAGGTCTTAAACTAGTCGCTTACTTAGCTTGTGCATAAATCTGGCACCGATGCTCAAGTTCTGTTGGGCCAGCCTTGACAGTCATATTTTGACACAACCGCTTTTGGCAAAAAGAAAAAGCATCACTAACAAGAAATCTGTGACTTCCCAGCCATATTGTTTTGGAAGGAAATGTGCTCTGCCCTTTCGGGAAGGGGAAATTGCTTTGTAAGTCTAGACTGAGCCCTTCCCCTTCCATGTCTATTTAAATTTATTTAAGTCAGAAAACAAAAGGAAGGTGGAGAACTAAAAGGACCATTGGGCAGAGTTTCCAAGCTTGCTTGTAATCAAAGCAGAATTATACGTGGGTTTAAAGAGCGCTTTGGCAGCTCAAACACTGATGA